TAGATTTTTGAACAAAAACATATTACCAGCAATAAAAATTTTGTCGGCATTAAATAACCCATTGAGGTTGATATGCCGTAAACCAAACCAAATTATATGTATAGCTGAGGAAGATAATGGTTAACTCTAGACGTGAACAGGTTAAGATTGTAGTGATCATGGAGACATCCTTTTGGGAGTCTGTTCCACAGAACAGTAGTTCGCAGAAAGAAGCTGTTTGTGTGGAAGTTACATGTCCTAACCGTTCATGGGTAGTCCTTGCTGAACCAAGTATTTTCCATGGTAGTAGCAGTGAGAGACTCGCCACGTCCCGCCTGTGAAGTTGGAAGGTGGAAAATTACTTGTATTTATCTCTGTATGTGATATCCGTCCTCCGTGAGTGCTGGACAATCGCCTCAGAGATGAAGATGAGACTTTAAGCAACAGAAATGTGGTTCTACAGAAAGATGCTGAGGATAGCATGGACCGAACATGTGAGCAACGACGAGGTTTTAGAGAAAATGGAAACGAAAAGCGAACTAATACTTAACATCAGGAAGAGAAAGTTGAGGTTTCTAGGGCACCCAATGAGGAAGGAGGGCTTGGAAAATCTGATACTCACAGGACAGATAGAAGGCAAGCGGTACAGAGGAAAACAACGCATTTGTCAGCCATTTTAGGCCCAGACTGACTATCTGATGTTTAAGAAAATTAAAGAATTGTGTCTTCTAAGAAAAAGTTTTTTGAAGGATAAAGAAATTACTGTAGAATCCCTGACAACAGGATTAAGAAAGCATTCCGGATATGAGGAATTGGTTACAAAGTCCGGATATGAGGGATTCCGGATATAAGGGATTCCGGATATAAGGGATTCCGGATATGATGGATTCCGGATATGAGGGAATCCTGATATAAGTGAGTGAGTGAGTGAAATATAACGGAATTGATTTAAGGAAAAGAAATAAATTATGTAATGTTAATGAAAATTCATTAAATTAAGTATGCCACGTATGCAAAACAAATAATATAACGAGGAATTTTTAATCGCTGTTGCATGATGATTCTTTCTCTTCTAATGTCATTCTCAACTTTTTCCGCATTTCGTTTTGCTTTTGTTCTTGAAATTTTTTTAAACGAAAGACGCTTTTTTACTCTGCGTGCGTTATTGCAATCGTCATAGCTGAATGCTGGCTTTCTTTCCATAAAACTGACAACCTTTTCAATAGCTTTTTCAATTTCAGTCCAGGTTTCATCAAATACTGCATCTCATCGCTATCTTGTTGCAGATGATGTCTCGTTGTCATCCTTTTCTCTTATTCCCATCATCTTTTGCACCAATACAAGCCATTAGGGTGAAATAAGCATAAGCAATTATCCAAAGTAAATTTCCTGTAGAACAGAAATTTCAAATCAGTTACACATCACCCAGATAGTTAAAATATACACATCAAAATCATGTCTGAATATGCGTGATTCCGGATATTAGGAGTTCCGGATATAAGGGATTCCGGATATGAGGGATTCTGCTTTACTATGGAATACCGTTTGTTGTTAATTTTAAACACATAACATTGAGTTTAGTTCATGAATAAATAGAGGTCTTCTAATAAGACAGACAATGTATTGAGTAACAAAGGCTAGCTTCGAGTGAGGTGGGTTGTGGAATTATTGATGGGGAATAAAGTTGGGGAAAGGAAAGGGGTCGTGAATGAATATTTTCGCGTAAAAATGTGAGAGAAATATAAAATGTGATTGAAAACATAAAAGAAAAGTAAAATAAATAATGAAGGAGTAACGTTAAAAACGAAAAAAGAAATATTTTGTATTGATGTGTTAGTGTTTCTTGTTAATCGTGTATTTTACTTTTGTCGCTGCTGGTGTCTATCTGCGTGCCTGTGTATGTGTGCGTATACAGGTGTACGTGTGTCGGGTCTGTGTATATGTACATGTCCATGCGTATGTGTGTTGAATGTTTTCTACGGGCAAATTATATTTTGTCCCTATTTTCAGCTGATGACTGTTACTCGTTGCTAACTTCGGCCATTTGCATTTCTTTCTTTTTATCTAACAGTTTTGAATAGTTTTTTTTTTTTTACAAAAGTCTCGGTTCTAATTCTTTTCGTTTTCTTCATTTTCTTCTTCACAATTTGCAAGTTGTAGCGGCTGTTTATTGCAGTTCGAGAGAAGTAATTGGGCTAGAATCCACATGCTCTTGAATATGCGTGGTTTAGAACAGCTCGATTTTTCATGTGCACATAACGGAAGAAAGTAATTCCGGCAAACATTCTTGAAAATTTCTCTCCATACATAGTCCGCTTAATCAAGAAGTGATCTTTTTAAGTTGGCCTCTTGTCCAATTTAAAAAGATCCAGGACACGTCATTATAATCATAGTTTAATAATTTGTAATTACACTTTTAAAATAATTTCATCCCAATCGAGATAAGAAAGTCACTAAGACGCAAGGGTTACTGAGTGTGAAATAATATGAGAAAAAGAAAAACATTATTAGAGAGAGAGAGAGAGAGAGAGAGAGAGACAGAAGATTAAGAACAGAAGATAACGATTGACATGTCATTTTTGAAGATTAAAGAGGCTGGAACCGTGTCCCACAACCAAAAAGTGCGAGAGAACAAAATGTTAGCATACAGCTTAATGTTACATCTAGCCGCTTCAACTGTAAGATGATGAGACTTAGCTGCGAGGGAGGGAGAGAGAGAAAGAGAGAAACAGGAATTAAGAAGACAGAAGATAACGATATCTTCATTTTTGAAGATCAAAGAGACTGGAAGAATGTCCCACAATCAAGAAGTGCGAGAGAAGAAACTGTTAACTTACGGTTACATCTAGCCAGCTCAACAATAAGATGATGAGACAGCTGCGAATCTAGTACTCTAGTTGAATTCATTCTGGGTTTACCAGGGAAGAAATGCGTCTAGCAGGATATTTAGCCATTAGTCTCGTCTCAGTAACTCATTAATCAGGGTATAAGAAGCAGGGTGATTTTTTGAGGAGATTTTTTTTTATGTCTCTTGCATGACGTCTGTCCTTCTTTACGGCAGCGGATGTTGGACCATTTCCTCAAAGATAAGAAGAGACTTGAGGCGACGGAGATGTGGTTCTACAGAAGGATGCTAAGGATATCATGGACCGAGCGTGTGAGCAACGATGAGATCTTAGAGAGGTTACAAACAAGGAGGAGTAATTGGGCTAGAATCTTTATTTTCCTCCTTCTCGTCTCCTCCTCCTACATTTTTTTTTTGGTCTCTATCATTTTTCTTGCCATACGCTTTCTGGCTTCTTTTCCTTCCTAGTTCTTCCTTTTTTCTTTCTCCCCCCCCGCCTCCTCCTCTTCCTCCTCCTCAACATCGGAAAGAGGCAGCTAAAGTTTCTGGGACACATAATGAGGAAGGAAGGTCTGGAGAATCTGATACTCACAGGTCGAATAGAGGGAAAGAGAGACAAGGGAAAACAACGCATGGCATGTCTAGCGGCCTTAAGCAAGTGGATGACAGAACGTAGTCTGAGGGAGTTGGCAGAGGGCAGAAACATGTTGAGAGCTGCAAGGGATAGATGGAGAGCCATGATCGCCTACGTCCTGAAAGGACACGGCACATAGAAAGAAAGAATATTGTGGGAAATATTAAGCTCCGGCATATAATTACTTTATAGTCTATTATAATTTTGGGGGAAAAATCATTTATTTTGGACGTTGGCTGTTGTTATGGTGTGATACTAGTAACTCATACTTATGACAGCAGTATTTGTTATCAGTAAGGCATCGACCTTCTTCTTCATTTTCTTAGGCTTACGGCCATATAACGTTGAAACAAAGGTTCCCGTGCGTATCACCGAAATTAAGCAACGTTAAGTACCTAGATAAGCCTCGTCCACTGCGAGGAAAGTTGGCTCCCTGAGCCGTGCTAGGAAGTTTTTCTCCCCTGAGTCGATCCTCCAGATATACAAATCCACAATTCGCCCTTGCATGGAGTATTGCTGCCATATATGGTCTGGCGCCCCTTCTGTTTGCCTCGGGGTTCTTGATAGGCTCCAGAAGCGGATATGTAATATGGTTGGCCCTGCCCTGGCGTCTCGTCTACAGTCACTTTCTCACAGACGCACCGTCGCCTCCCTCTGTCTGTTCTACAAATACTTTCATGGAAATTGCTCCGAGGAACTGCATTCGCTGGTTCCCAAACTTCATGAGTTCAAGCGCCCTACGAGGCTGGCATCCCGCTCTCACCCCTTCAAAACTCGTCGAAACTCATAAATGTAGCCGTCTCTTTTACTCTAATAGCTTCATGTCTCGCACCTCTCGCCTGTGGAACTCTCTTCCCTTCTCCTGTTTCCCTGAGAGTTATAATCTCCAGCTATTCAAGTGTAATGTTAATCGACATCTCCAGTTGCCTTAATCTATCTACTACCCTCATCCTTTCTTCTATCACTCCTATCTGATCTTCCTATTTTCTGTAACCCCTTGTGTCCTAGTGGCTCCCCGCCTTGCTTGGGGTGAAATGCTTAAAAAAAAAAAAAAAAAAAAAAGTGACAGCTTGGGAATATGAGGTGTTGTAAGTTTAGGTGTGCGGGTGGTGTAATGAATAATGACTCGAAATTGTTAATCGGAGAGTTGAGTTCCAATTTCAGCTGGGTTCGTTTTATTCATATACGCGCAAATACTCTTGGGAAATGTATGAAATCACTTCTCCCCTTACCTATGGGTTAGTCAGTAAGACATGTATCACTAAACCGTTATTATCTAAAAAAAACTTACAATCTGAACATATTATCGGGCTTTGATCGATAAAAGTTGATAGGCCGTAAAAAACGAATAAATCAATCTTTTTTCTTATTTGCCTTCTGTTCCCTCTCCTCTACTTCTTCCATCTACATATCAACCACCACCACCACCACCACCACCACCACCACCAGCAGCAGCAGCAGCAGCTTCTTCTTTTTCTTTTTCTTCTTCTTCTTTGTTTCCTCCTCATTCTCTTTCTCTTTCTTCCACTCCTACTTCTTCAGTCCTAATCCTTTTTCTCCTCTTCCTCATTCTTCTCTTTTCCCTCTCCTTTTTGTCTCTTTCTCCCCCTTCTTACACTACCCACCTCTTCCTCCTTTCTTTCCCTTCCTTCTCCTCATTATTATTTTCTCCTTCGTCACATCGTCTCTCTTCTCCTCCTCCACCGCCTCTCTCTCTTTATTTTCCTCCTTCTCGTCTCCTCCTCCTCCTCCTACATTTTTTTGGTCTCTATCATTTTTCTTGTCATACGCTTTCTGGCTTCTTTTCCTTCCTCGTTCTTCCTTCTTTCTTTCTCCCCTCCGCCTCCTCCTCTTCCTCCTCCTGATTCTTTTTCTTCTTCTTTTGTAAGCAAAATAGCAAATAATGATAGAGTTAATGATAGTGAAAGCGTTGTTACCAGAATGGGTAGAGCCATCATCATCATCATCATCATCATCACCAGCATCATCATCATCATCATCATCATCATCATCATGGTTTATAATGATTTGATTAACCATCAGCGTCGCTTGTCGGTCGAGAATATGTAGTAATGACATCATTGTCTCTGAGGATGTCGACAAGTGTTACAAGTTTTTATTGAATTAAACTTCTCTTTTACTGATTAGATGCGACTAAAGCGATTAGTCGCCAGCAGCCGTCACCTTTTGCGGCCAAGTGAGGCCAGAAACAAACACTCGTCAACAGGAAATTCTCTACGCAGAACGAGGCTGATGGGGAAAAAAAAAGACACTGTCGGCAACGATCGGTTAGCGATGCCCTGTGCATGCTTAAACATGTGTGTGTATTGTGTAAAAAAATGACGTCCCTATTTGTGGTTAGTAATGATATTTGCAACACAAAAAGAAATGGAGTAGAAAAATTCCATTACGCCAATCTTCAAAGCGAGAAGAGTCAACATGCTTTGAAAAGCTTCATTCAAACTCCCAGCTTTTACCTGGGCGCGATCACGGATACCGGTAGGAAAATACAGAGTTGTGGTTATTTATCTATTTAGCATGACACCCATTGAGGATCGAACTCGTATTTTTTAATGTAATGTCTTTTCAGGGTGTAGACGATTATGGCTATCCATACATTATTTTTCATCATTATCTGTCATGGCTGCTTGGGAAATATAGTGGAGTAGTTTCTCATTGATTTCTCTACAGATTTGAACTGAGAGTAGTTTTCGTCTAGATTGGCAACCAACCAAAGTTAGAGCAGCAAGTCTGCACTGGTATTTAAATTATAGCTGGTTGAGTTTGGGGAGGGGAAGAAATAAATTCATAGAAATAAATTCCAAGAATATTTGTGCAAAAAGGAGACCACCAAACCTGTTGGCCAAACGTGATACACGCTTAGGCGATCACGTATCATTATACGACAGATTTTTTTTCCCGCAGTAGGTTGTCATTTTTTTACTGCGATAGACCAGTTGCCATCCAAAGCTATAGAATCCGGTCTCTCCTGTTATTGGAGAGAGAAGACAAGGATTCATACCTTTCTAAACAGTATTAGCACGTAAGTGAATGTAATGGATTCGACTGGGATTCGAACTCGGTTCTCTGATTCTTCAACCCGAGCCGCTATCCATTATTCCACTGTGCCTCCTAGAGTAACAGTTTGCTCTTTAAGACGTGATTGCTGATAATGGTGCTACAGTAATTATTAAGGTTAAATTAGAGTAGAAAAAAAGGTTATAAGATTAGGGTACTTAGTGAGGATCGAACTTTCTATGATTAGCGAAACTAAAGTAATTATAAGGTCCACGAGTACATAAGGCCCACCTTTTCATTTCAGTAGGAAATATGAAAAAAAAATGTCGCACGGCATATCGAATGTAGAAATTCATTCGTGTGTCCTAGTTTAATATTTAGGGAGAAAATGTGGGTCTTATATGTCACCAAGTATAGCAGCTTTCAAAACAGTTTATATCGTCTTGTCTAAAGAAATAGGTATACAGTAATATAATCTTGTGCGTCATGGAATTTATGCATCAAAATATTTATTCTCCATTATACAGTCCGTCTGAAGTTATTATGCAAATTACATTAGCTTCATCTAACGCAAGGAAAGTTGCTTCTCTGTGTCATGCCAGAACGTTTTTCTCGCCTGAGTCCATCCTTTAAGTCTATAAATCAACCATTCATCGTTGCATGGAGTATTGCTGTCATATATGGTCTGGTGCCCCTGCTGTTCGTCTCGAGGTCCTCGACAAAATCCAGAGATGGATATGCAATGTGATAGGTCCTGATCTGGCATCTCGTCTACAGTCACTTTCTTACAGACGTGCCGTGGCTTCCTTTTGTCTTTTCTGCAAGTATTTTCACGGCAAATGCTCCGACGAGCTACTTTAGCTGGTTCCCAAATTGCATGAATTTAAGCGTGCTACTAGGTTGGCATCCCAGTCCAACCCTTTCACTATCGAAACGGTTAAATGTAGCCGCCTCTTCTACTCTCATAGCTTCTTACCTCGCACTTCCTGACAGCGGTCCTCTTACTTGTTTCCCTGACAGCTATAATCTTCAAATATTCAAATGTAATGTCAATCGACATCTTCTGATGCCTTGACCTTGATCCTCGTCCTTCTCTTTATCCTTTCCTCAAACACCCCCCTCTTTACTCTTGCTCTCAACCTCCGTAACTACCTGCGTGCTAGTGGCACTCCCTCCTTGCTTAGGGTAAAATGCCTAAAAAAACCTTAATAATTTTAATTTCCTTTGAACAATTTTCGTCAAATTTTAAACAATTAATTTAGACGTCAAAACAAAGCTTGAGTTAATCTTTTTGAGAAATAAAATAAAACTGAGCTGCTACGTGCCATCTTCCTATCTTTACGACAGTGAATGTTGGACGGTCTCCTCAAAGATGAAGCAGAGATTCGAGGCAACGGATAACATGGACCGAGCAAGTGAGCAACGATGAGGTCTTGGAGAGGATGCAAACAAGGAGGAAGCTTATACTTGACATCAGAAAAAGGGAACTGAAATTTCTGGCACGCTTAATGAGAAAGAAGGGCTTGGAGAATCTGATAATCACATGTCGAATAGAGGGAAAGAGAGGCAAGGCAAAATCTAGCGGAGTTAAGCAAACGGATGACAGAACAGGGCCTGGTGGATGTAGCAAAGAGACAAAGCTTGTTGAGAGCTACAAGGGATAGGGAGAAGTGGAGAGACATTATTGCCTACGTCCTGAAGAAAAAAAAAGTTTTATTAAAGTTATTTATCTGCGTCCGGTTTCTTTAAATGTTTCATCTTTCTTGACAGATCGTCTATTATCACAGTGGGGAATATTTAATAACAAAAGTGAAAGAAACATAAAGCAATAAGAAACTAAATTTAATCGGCTAGATTATATAACCAAAACATATATTAAAAATGATTTGAAATTTGAAATTCTCAGCATCACTCGTTCGTTTGTGCGCATGTGTAGACACATTAATGTAAACATAAACTTAGTCCAATGAAGTCCTCGAAGTAGAAACGCGCCACATTAAAAAATCTTCCACTTTGTCACACTTCTTTCCTCTAATTAATATATATATATATATATATATATATATATATATATATATATATATATTGTCTATTTTATATTGATCAGTTTCTTCATGTTAAGATGAAATTTATCAAGGAAGACGCCGTAGTTTTTTTCAAACCCAAGTACATTCGATCTTTTCCAAGAACATTTTCAGGCGTAAATTACAAAGAAAAACTTATTGCAGCTGCGATAAAATCTATATTCCGTTATGAAGATGATTTTTAAAAACAGTCGCGAATGCGCTTTGTAATTATTTTAAATTTTTTAATTTATGCCCTGTAGCTATGGACTCTTTTGGCCAAGCAGACGATCCAATATAAAGGAACTGTCCGGAATTGGTAGAAATGGAAGATACTGCCAAAATTACATTAAATGTTTGTAATATGTACTTCAATACGTTACTGCTACACTCGTAATAAATTTTGTTGAGTCTCTGTTGGTTGATTTTGATATACAGAGTCTCGAGAATTTGAAGTTTGTTTTATTTTTTGTCGTTCACGTGCAGAGATGGCGAAGATAATTTTGAATAATTTGGCTGATCCTGAAATAATATATATATATATATATATATATATATATATATATATATATATATATATATATATATATATCCAGCCAGGCTAAACCATAAATTTAACAATACAGATAGTACCAATATATAACTCAACAAATCAAAACCTATCCACATTTCTCACCCACACAAGACAGACATGCTTACGGAGGTGTTGAGGCCACATACTTATACACACACCCACACGAATATATACACACTTACACACATCATACTCACTCCCTAATGAGCCAAATGATAACACACACCCACAGCAATACACACGCTTACACATATCATACTCACTCACTCCATAAGAACCAAACAGCACACACACAAACACTAAACAGAGACACATCCCCTCACCAGGTCCAATAAAACTGTCAAACTGACCAGAGAATTCAGAATAATATGTATCTATCCAGCACTTATCTCAAATAACAACTTAAAAGAGAGACCAACACAAGGAATGTTAAAAGATTCATGTTAAAAAGATTAAAAAAATAAAAAAACAAATGAAAACTACAGACAAAAGTTCATTTTCTCCAGCAAAAGATTCATTTCTGTAGTTTAGTGCTACCAGCAAGCAGAAATATTTCTCCTCCCAGTCGAAGAATCTAAATGATATAATAATAAAAAAAACGAAAGAATATTAATCTACAACCCAGTGTGTCTAAAGATTTTAATTTTTAATATTTTCTTATTGTTCAATATATATATATATATATATATATATATATATATATATATATATATGATTGAACTTTATTTCTGTTCTTCATGAGTTTCCAATCCTTAGTTATGATTAGTTAATGATGAACATGTCATTTTCATTTATGATGGATTTCATCATAATACTTCTCTTAAGCTTGGAGAGTAATTATACATTCTTATTGTTCAAAGTAGATCCCAACAGTGTTGTAAAAAACATCGGAGAATTCCAGTAAGATATCTTTAATCATTTCTAAGATACAGCAGTTCAGAGCTTAATCTAACAATTGGACAATTTTGCTGTTACATCCGAATTATATATATATATATATATATATATATATATATATATATATATATATATATATATGTGTGTGTGTGTGTGTGTGTGCGCGCGCAGTGTGTATATAATCACCTGCCGAGCGTCTTGTGTGTGTCCCGATCGAGAATAATTGATATGCTTAAAACATAACAAATAGACATCAACACAAATATTCAAATTAATATAAAAAAGGGCCGATAAAAAATAATGTCTATAATGAAGAAAACTAATAATAACTTTTGA